AGCCTGCATGGAGAATGTAGTATAATCACCAGAATATTAAAAAAAAAATTAGAATGTTTGTCAACATGGAAACATTTTACAGAAACATCAGCTTGGTGTTGCCCAAAGATACAAGCTTGGCAAACCCTGGAATGCAACTGAAACCCACCCAGACAGACTCCATGGAATTTGCTATGAATCCATCTGTCAGACTTCCTGTCTCTTTAATCCTTTTATCTCCCCACACCTATAGAAAATTAACATTCATTCCAACAGTTTGTTTTTTTTTCTCTCCTGATTCTCCGAGCCCTCATTTTATTCTACTTTGCTACCCACTCCTCTTCTGTCGGACATCTGCATGCTGGAATGTGTCAGGGCTGTCTGGAGGTCTCTTCTTTTCTCCTTCTGTATTCTTTCCCAATGAGATGTCATCACTCACATGGTCATAATCTCTTTTGTTGATCTGCCTAGAACTCAACTTTCAACTCTGTAGTTTAGGATACAATGTAGATTGTCCATGCAAAGGTCAATACTCATGTGCCCAAGTCAATGGTGGAGATCTTCCTCCCAAAGACCTCATTCTACTCGCTGCACCACCTTACCAAAAGTCACCTCCATTTACCCGCTTCCTTATGATAGAATATTAAGAATACACATGTGAGTCCCTGGAAAATCACTGCGTCTGACACCCAACACTCAGTAACGTTACCCGTGTTTGCTACCACCAAGATGCATCCCAGATCTGTCCTCTGCTCTGCATCTCCTCAGCTGTCACTCTGGCCCAGTCTCCACCGAAAAGTCTCCCCCCCTCCTCAATGGAATCCCTCATAGTTCCCAAGGATTATTTGGTTTTCAAAGCTTTACACATGCTGTTCCCATGAGTTGGAATAGCCTGCATCCACACAGATGCACGTTCTATTTCTAACCCTGGAAAACAGACAGCAGCTTGGCAGACATGCATGAGGTTCGTGCAACTGTCCTCAGAACTGTTCCCAATCGGAAAGTAAGGAAGTCCCGTCGGGACCTGAGGAAATGATCCCTCAGCTGGGAGGTGTCAAGAACCAGCTCGGGAGAGAACTGCCGAGGAAGTGGGAAAACATATAATGTGGGTCACGAGTACCCAGGTTTACATTATATAAAAGGTTGTGTTTAGAATAGCAAAACACATGCTTGGCAAACCGTGGAGTGCAAAATCAGAGTATGGTAATGAATAGGCCACACACACATTTTGTTTATTTCGGCGATCCTGAAAATCAGTACTTACCATGACAGGTGGCTGCATCAGACCAACCATTTTCACCACACACTATGGTGCCCGTGGTGCCTCCTTTTCCATTTTTATATCCATCCCGGCATTCATAGACCAACCTGTCATTGACCTTAAACCACGTGCCATTACTTTTGGCTCTGGCATTCTCAAATACTGGCATGCCACAAGATTCTAATGCATAACAGAATTCAAGATTTCACTTCTAATACTATTAAACGGACAATTGAATTATGTAAGCTCCATACCAAGAATAAAAAAGCTTTATCACTTAGCATGTCCTAATAAATTTTGCATCATATACAAGTAATCTAAGCATACTAGTGATAAATCACTGTCCTAAAATCATTACTCACTATAAAAGCATGTATTTCTACACAGCAGTTTTACCATCACTTAAATCAATCAAAACATATATTTTAAGAACATTTTTCTTAATGCAATTAAACTTCGACATTCATTCCATGTTAGCAATAAAATAGGCCATAATAGATGCATTGTACTTTTTTTTGGCAAAGCAGAATAGCATTTAGTGAGTGTATATGCCAACGTTATTAGCAATTGTAACATATATGCCAGAAAAAAATGAATTAGTTCAACAAAAAGTTATTTTTCAACAGTGAGAATAAACTTAACCTTCCATACAATTAAACATTCTATACAATTCTCCTTTAACACATAATAACTTTTAAAGCTCACATGCTATTTTAGCTTTTTCAGATATTTTGAATGAAGTATATATTTTTTTATTTTTCAAGGTCGAATGTAAAGGTAGTTCTATATTTATAGTTAGTATAAGAAAGCAAAATGTTAAAAGATGGTCTCAATTTTCACTAACACTATATTGGAGTGGTGTTAATAAAAGTTTAAATAATTTACTTCGTATTTTATAACATACTATGCAGCTCGTTAGCTTAAAGTGTTAAAAAATAGACTAAAACTATACTAATAAAAATAATAGACACATTTCTTCCTTTCCTAATGAGAGTGTTGTAATGAATAGTTGACCACAACTTAATATAAAATGGGTCTGATATGGATGCAACTTTCAGCATTTTTTCTTTCACTGGTTCCCATGGTAACTATGGAAATGGAAAGCAGAAAAGAAAAAAACAATAGGTTTGGGGCATTTCATTCACTTAAAGTGAATGAAAACTACCACTGCGTGCCTTGGGGATGAATAAGAAAAAACCAGCAAACAGTCGCAGGGAACGTCATAAACTTGGAGGCCATGAAGCAGAGAGCTCTCTCCCCACAGGGACTCTGCTTCCGTCCAGATGCATCTCCCAGTCTCCACTCACTGCACATCCCTGCAGGGTTCCTACAGGAAGTGATGTCTCAGAAGATGATCGCCCCTGCAGCATTGGACACATAAACCACACACGTGACATTCCTCTACAGCTGTGTTCAATGCGCCCACATTTCACTTCAAAGCCTAACTGGTAGGTGTAGGAACCAAGTCTCTGAAAGAGAAGTCTGGTCACCTGACAAGGGGTACAAAGGACAGGACCTCAGCTCAAATGCATGAGCTCACAGCGGAATACACACAGGCCCCTAGGCAGACTGCAAATCTCAGGATGTTTTATGGTGGATAAACCTTGAACGGAATGATGGACCTATGTCTACCCTACTAGTAATTCTTTGTAAAAGACAATGGGAAATTACATGGATTTTCTCCCAAATATCTTATTTAGCTTTTTGAAATAGAGCTACGTCAGCTTCTACCACCTCACAAAAAAGGAAATCAGTTAAAGTAAACGTTTGCTCAATAAAATAATGGACATCACAGTCATGGAGGACTTACTAAAGCATCTGGGTTGAGCAGACCATCCCTTCTGGAGACATGTAATATGCCCGGATGTGTGACCATCTTCTGTTACATAACCTTGATTGCACAGATATTTTACTTTTTGATTTAAAATATATATTCTGAGAGGCAGCAATAAATCCATTCTCAATTTTTACCTTTGATTTCAAACATTTTGCTAGAAGAAAGAGAGAGTATAAGGAAATGGTGAGCATATGGCCGGCAAACAGTTTCCTAAGGACTCACACAGCATTACAACCTAAGAAATAAGGGCATTTGTCAATGAAAACCTGGAAAATTCTACTCATCCAAAGCATTGTGACAGAGAAAGTAGATTATAAGTTTCCAAAACTGTGAAATCTAGACATTGAATACACTTGGGGGGACTAAGCCGGATCGGAAACACTCAGGATGCCTTGTGGGAAATTATTACAAATCGGTTTGTCTCGTGATTCTGGAAGCCCCCAGCATGCCTAAGCTCTCCTAACACCAGGCCCTTTCCTGTGACCCATTGGGTTTCAATCTTGGTAAGAGGTGGCGCCTGAGTTCTCTCACCATGGGAAGCAATGGCACCTCAGTGAGGTGATGGGTGTGCTACACAGCTCCATCTGGTGGGCATGTCACTGCGTGTGCTTCTGTCACAATAGCAAGCTGTCCCCATTAAACACATGCGATCCCCCTTTTCACTCACACCCCATTCCTGCTGATAAAGGAAAACCCAACTGGAAACAGAAACACCTGAGCATGAATCAACTGGAACCCAAACACTAGAGAAAATGTAGAGTGAAAAGGAGGCTCATTGAAAATATTCACTAAAATGGACAAAGAAAGAACAGCGAAGAGGGTGCCAGCCCCACAGACAAGGAAGAAGCGAAGCCAAATCCATGAAAACGACCCTGTGAGGCACATGGACACGGCCAGTGCCTAACGAAGGTTCCCGAGACACAGGCTCACCCAACGGCTTCTCCATTCTCACCGGGGCTTGGTTGGGAGGCGGGGATTTTCCAGATCACAGCCCAGGACATGCCAGTCCTACTGAATAGGAGACACCAGCGCTGAAGACCATAAGCTGAGAGGAAAGACCCTCAGGAGGAAGAGAGCTCTGCCAACATGCACGGTGATCCCTAGATCCCTTGGGGAAGGCATCCCACTAGAGTGCAGGCGGAACCGCTGAGAATGGGCAGAGCACAACTACCAGAGGCAAGACCGGCCAGGAACCAACAGATTCTGAGACTCCATGGCACACACAGCAGTGGAAACATGCCTATTCACCAGTCACATGAAAATAGGTCTTTAAACTCAGATCACTCAGAAGAGAAGCCAAAGAGGCCTTCTCCATCTGGACCCTGAGTCCGCTCCTCTGTGTAATGGCGCCCACGCCAGCCCCATTCATTGGAAAACCAGCCTTGAGTGGATCAAGTTGACCGGAACAACCTGGACTTCCAAAACAGAACATTAAGCCAGAGGGACTTGAGGTCTCCAACCTCAAACCCCCAGAGATGCATTCTGGGAAGAGCAACTCGGACGGTGAGATTGTTGCTCTCAGAGACTTCGCTGCCCCCAGCGTGGGCCACTGGCTCCAATGGTGCGTCCCGGAGCCCTCATGCCTGGGGGTTGTCACAGTGTCTGTTCTTTGTGGGGAAGATGGCAGAGCCTCCTAATCTGCCATCTTGTGTACGACTCTGTTATTACAGGTTTGCTCTCTGCGGTCTTTTGCTGTTTGGTTTTTTATTTATTTGTTTTTTTAATTTGTATCTACCAGTAGGCTTCCTTATTTTTCCGTGGATATACCAAGAAATCAGTGTTTCCACTCAAACACCCTTGAGAAAATAAAACCAAGTAGGGCCATTGCCAAAACAAGGGGTTGATAGAAAACTTTTGCCTCAGCTATTACAGGTGAGTGTTAGACAATCACGAACAGACTGGCTGTTAGACCAGTTTCCTTACCGACACGGGTACATCTGGGAGGAGGGAGCCAGCCATTCTCCGTACAGGTCAGTGAGGTCTGCTGGTTTTGAAGCGTGTAGCCAGGATAGCAACTAACATTTACAGATTGGCCCTGCAAATATTGTTGTTCAGAGAGTGGACGATGTCCGTTTTCCAAATAATTGAAAATGCATCTTCCTGAGAATTATAAAATGATGATAAGAACACATAAGTGGGGTGAAAACAAAATTAAAAACTATCTTTATAATATTTAAGTTAGAAATCAGAAGCATCCAAAAGTAACACATAACTTAAGAAACACGACAGTTGCTACCAAGTGTTTTTAAAATCCATATTAAGTGGTGTTTATCTGTAGTTTCCACAATTGAAGTATGTATAAATGCTATAGGTAGGCTTGTAGATCTATTTCTATTTCTCATACTGCTAATGAAGAAATTTTATTCTTGATGAAAGAGAAATACAGTATCAGTCTTTCTGCTCAGAGACCCATCCTCCCACCTACTCCCCCCGCCAGGCCTAGCGGTGCTCATGGTTGCTCTCTCCACTCTGAGCCATTGCCACGTGTACAGGACAGAGGGGTTCACTCACTGCGGCAGGGCAGTTTCGGGGTCCAGCCATCTGGTTTACAAGTAATGTAATCCCAGGAGCTTTCTGTAGCAGTCACATAGTTTTCATCACAGAGATAGTAAAACCATGTTCCTACGGATACTGGGAAGGATAGTCTATATCTATCTTCCCCATGTAGGCGTCCATGTTTTATTTCTGGGAAGTCACAGGGCTTAACTAGCAAGTAAAACAAACAAAACACAGCATAAGTCATGTTTTATCTTAATAAGAACATTATGAGAGATACCTTGATTCATTGATTAATTATATTCTCACAGGCACATAATTGCACTCATTGCATTAGGCTTTCTAGGACAAGAAAGGTTATAATCTTCAGATGATGTAACACTTGTTCCCTGATCATTTCACTATGTATGCAAATACCGAATCAGTATAGTGTGCACCTGAATACAACACTTAGGTCAATGTTATCTACATGGATGGTCACTCTCCTTGTCATTGGGATGCACACTGGGGTCAGTGTCACGGTGGTCACGGCCTCCTCTTTAAGGCTCCTGACTGCCCACATTCGTTTGGCCTTGGCCTTGAGTGAACACTGAGCCATGGATCTGCTATGTGTACCATTTCACGTGTCACCATGGAAGAACCAGCTGAAGTGTGGGCCCCTTCGACAAAGAACTGACATACAAGGAAGAGCAATGAGATTGCAGAGACAGAAAACACTGGGGAAGGGGCAACCCCCCAGGAGTAAAATGCCCTGTGGGCCGTGGGGTGTGTGTGACCTGGGATGGCTTTAGAAGGTGCACAATGTCTCCCACACTCACCCCCTCAGACAAGGGAGCCCCGTGCCCTCCCTTGAGTGAGGCTGGACTTAGGGGCGGACGCTCTACTGAAGAGTTCCCGTGGCTGAGGGCACCGTGTGTGACCAGGTCAGCGATGCTCTGGAGGCGCCTCCGGGGCCCTCAGGTCACTCGCTCTGGGAGGGTTACCTCCCCCCAGGCCACCGAGGGAGACGCCCAGGTGGACGGGAGCAGAGGCTGCTGCACACGCCCTGGCAGTGGGCCCCGTGAAGCACATCAGCCCAGCTCCCTCCGACCTCCCACCCCCCAAACTGGGCAGCATCCCAGGGACCCACCCAGAGCCAGGCAGCTAAGCGGCTCCCAAATGCTGACTCCGCCAGCGCTGACACACAGGGGCTGGTGTCTGAGGCAGTCTGTGCGGGGAGTTTGTTCTATATTAGAAATCAATATCTAATGTCCTAGGTGCTACCTGGCTGTGTTCTTACCAAATGTTCTCATTCACATATTAGAATATTAGCGAGAGAAACATATATTCATACATACACACGTATTTAACATTGCATACCAAAAAAAGTTAAATTTTTATTAACGAATAAAAACTTATTGGATTTGATCTTAATTAGAATTGGACGCTTTGGACATCAAAGGCTGTTTTGAAGACTCTGTGTTACCTTCTCATTGAGGCCAAGACCCCCTTTATTTTTTGTTGATGTCAGAGAGGAAGGGAGAGGGAGAGAGAGAGAAACATCAGTGATGAGAGAATCATGGATCGGCTGCCTCTTGCACGCTCCCTCCGAGGGTTGGAGCCTGCAATCCGGGCCTGTGCCCTGACCCAGAATGAAACGGTGACCTCCTGGTTCCTAGGTTGATGCTCAGTCCCTGAGCCACGCCGGCCGTGCAGATCCCCGGTATTTTTAAGTTTAAGAGGAGGAATTGCAGAATTAAGAACTGGGTCAACTTAAGGAGGGAACTTACAGCTGCATCTCGGAGAAGGTTCCCAGCCCATAGCAGTACATTTTGCCGTATTTCCCTGGGTGGGAGGGTAAAAGCCTCTTTTACAGGAGTATGTGATTCTGTCTCCCACTCTGTATTTGCTCCTGTCAGCCTGGAAGTGACTGTTTGCAATTCTTGGAATCTCGCATGTCTTTTCTGAAAAGTAAAAGTACATGTCTGTTATGCAGCAAACATTTGTAAATCATCGAGGACATGTGAATTATACAGAAATCCCATGAAAATCACCAAGGACATGAGAATGAAGTGAATGTCATTTTTTTTTTTTTGTTCTTTCCAAATGAGCACCCTGTCCTTACATATATTTTCGCAATAGTTACATAGAAACTAGTAGAAAATATACATGATCACCTACACGTGTTCAATAAAATATGTCTCCAGCATATGATGTTAATCAACACTAACCTCAAATGAACGTTAAATATGTACTAACCTCAAATGAACGTTAAATATGTTTATGTTTTGCCTGGCCAGTGTGGCTCAGGGGTTGAGTATGGACCCATAAACCAAAAGGTCATAGTTGGAGTCCTGGTCAGGGCATATACCTGGGTTTGGGGTTTGATCCCCAGTGTGGGGTGTGCAGGAAGTAGCCTATCAATGATTTCCTCTCATCATTGATATATATATATATATATATATATATATATATATATATATATATATATAATCTTTCCCTTCTTCTCTGAAACCAATAAAAATATGTATTCAAAATGTTTATTTTTTCTCACTTTAATCTGTTATATTTATTATGCTTTCGTATTTTCAATGCAGTCCAGTCTACATATCTAGTTTTCACTTCCTAGTATAGCTGCACTTAACACCAATGTTTGAAGACAAAATCTACAAGACATATATAAAAATATATGTTTCCCTAAGAGACCAACCAAATACTATGGGGAGAATTTTGTTAAATTGATAAAGAATAGAAGAACTTCTGGTCGTCAAGCAGTGGGCATAATCTCTTGACAAATTGTAATTCCCTGTTCTCATAATCTCTATTAAAGCCAATGGTGCTGGTAAACCATTACCAGGGCCGGTGTCTCTAGCAAAAATACTAACAGCTGAGGTTGAACAAACGTGTGAGGCCACATTTTTCCTACTGTTAGAAGCCATCACGGAGATTTGGAAGACGAATAATGGTTCCATATTGGCACTCCATGCTGCGACTCAGCAGGAACATCCCTTTGCACAGGGATAGATGAATTGGGCCAAAGGTGGTTTTTATTTAGCCGGTCTTGGTACTTTTCATCATTCCTGCAAATGACTTGTTGTCAGAGATTGTCCCTTAATGAATGCAGTGACAGTTTTTTTGTTTTGATTTTTTTTTAAGTATATTTTTATCAGTTTCAGAGAGGAAGGAGAGGGAGAGAGAGAGGAACATCGATGATGAGGGAGAATCATGGATGGGCTGCCTCCTGCACGCCCCATACTGGGGATGGAGCCCGCAACCCGGACTAGGAATCAAAGCATGACCTCCTGGGTCATAGGCTGATGCTCCACCACGGAGCCACGCTGGCCTGGCAGGATCAAAGTTTTTGTTGTTTTAAAATATATTTTATCGATTTTTTTACAGAGAGGAAGGGAGAGGGATAGAGTTACAGACATCGATGAGAGAGAATCATCGATCAGCTGCCTCCTGCACACCCCCCACTGGGGGTGTGCCTGCAACCAAGGTACATGCCCTTGACCGGAATCGAACCTGGGACCTTTTAGTCCGCAGGCTGACACTCTATCCAGTGAGCCAAACCAGTTAGGGCGAGATCAAAGTTTTGATAAATTCCTCTCTACTGACACCCCCAACGCTACAAAGCAGGGACCCGATGGGAGAAGAGCTGTGTCTTATCCCAGCGAAGGCCGTTTTAAGGTGTCTTTTGCGGCTTAGTTCCCCGTTTCTTACAAACGTGGGGAGAACAGATGCCCTTGGGAGGCCTTCCCTCCCCGCAGGTAGGCCTTTCCGTGGTCGTGAGTGAAGGGGGAGCATGTCGGTGCCAGGAGCAGAGGCCGGAGGGTGCCGTGCGTGCACAGGACCGACGGCGTGCACCGCAGCAGGCGCCCGTGAGAAAGGGGAGGTTACCTTGGCAGGACGGGGGCGGGGTCCACCCCCGCTGGGTGCAGACGGTCTCTGCTCTCCCGCCGTAGGTGTAGCCTGGCAGACACTTGTACTGCAGCCTCTCGTTCTCCCTGTAGGAGGCCTTCGGGGACGTGGGCTCTCCGTTTTCGATTTGTGGGACTGGGCAGGAGATGTCTGGGCGAGGGGGTGAGATTCCAAAGTGTCTGTTAAGGATGTGAAAGGAAGGTGCCCCACGCCCAGCTCTGTTTGCACTGGGCAGGGCAGGCAGCCTGGCATATGTGTCCTTATCCCTCCATTGCCCCCCACCCCCACCCTAAACCCGTTCATGCCCTCGCCCCCGTGGTGTCTGTGCCCATTGGTTAGGCTCCTATGCATGCGTACAAGGCCTTTGGTTGATCTCTCTCCTTTATTCCCATCCTCCCCTGCCTTCCCCCTGAGGTTTGAAGAAGTTACCATTCTGACTACAATCGTGCTGCTAATTCCATTGGATTTGAGGATAGCCCAGTCCTGCTGAAATAAATAGTGGCCATAACACTCATCTACTGTCTACATAACACTGGACAGAGCTCTGAGCTGCTGTGGCAGGCATTCTCACTGAGTAACCTGAAAAAGTACATCTGTTCTAGCTATTGGGAATAGAGAGATGACAGACGGAGTTGTTCACTGTTGACTTTGTAAAGAAAAAAAAATTAATTGATCTCATTTTGATGACAGCTCCAGAAAGCAATTGGCCTTCTATCCAAGAAAACACGGGCACCACCGTTTCTTCCATTATAAAACAGAGGTTGAAATGGTGCATGTACCACAAAGTCACTTTGAAAGTATAACGAGGTGACACGCATCAAGACCTCAGATGGATTGCTGGGAAGTAGTAAGTGCTCAATCAATGCCATTTGATATCAGTTCCATATAGATTCTTTAGGAGGCACAGTGTCTCTGCAATGCCTGTTTTCATGAGAGAAGAAAATCCCTAAAATGCACAGAAGGGGTATCTTACCCACACAGCTGGGCTTGTCTGCACTCCACTGGCCGTTTCCTGAGCAATGTATTTCCGAAGGCCCGTTCAGCTTGAAGCCCTTGTCACACTCAAACTTGACCACCTGCCCGTAAGTGTACTCCTGGCTCAGTTCGAACGCACTGCTGATGAGTCTTCCATTCTTCGGCGCCTCCACGGGTAAACACTTAACCACTGGAAAAGGAACGCAACTTTTTCTAACAGGCTTTGGAAGTTGGCCGTGAAAAATACGTATCTACACAGATGGAGGTATAAAAATCAGCAAGATAAGATCGGAGGAAATTACTTAAATGTTTTTCTTTTCTTTTTTTTCTTAAAGAAGCATTCAATAGAGTTGTTTGTTGGAGATAAAGTCCGCTAAGTGGAAAAAACAAAACAAAACAAAGACAAATAAACAAAAAACCAATATTGAGTTTCTCTCTCATAACCCCCTGGATTTAAAAAATATATATATTTTATTGATATTTTACAGAGAGGAAGAGTTAGAAACATCGATGAGAGAGAATCATCCATCAGCTGCCTCCTGCACACCCCCTACTGGGGATGTGCCTGCCACCAAGGTACATGCCCTTGACCGGAATCGAACCCAGGACCTTTCAGTCCGCAGGCCGACGCTCCATCCCCTGAGCCAAACCGGTTCTGGCCCTGAATTTTAAATAGTAATACTTGTGTGCTTTCTAGAGGTTAGAATCCAAAAGGAAAGAAAAATAAGTTCCAGATTTCCCAATTGCTCGTCCTTTAAATATTAGATCGGATGAGGTTGAATTCCTATTTGGTTACTGACACACAGAACAATGTAGTGGTAAAAAGGTCAGAGAGGCAGTCTGTGTTGTTTCAGAAACCGTAAATAACAATTTGCAGATGAGACATTGAATTATAGGCTGGAAGGATGTTTTAATGGGAGCCATGGGAAAACATCCTCAGTATTTTTAGAACTGTATGTACCGTCACACAGAGGCACGTCATTGGTCCATCCATCTGCATCACATTCCCGGAAATCGATGTCCCCTATCATCTGATACCTGAAAACCAGAGATAGTAGGGCAGTGAGCTAATGGGTGTTTATAAGCAACTTTAAAGTTGATACCATGCTGAATGTCCAAACTCCCTTGGAGGGAAAATGAGAAGCATATGCATTTTCCTCTTCCTCTTGCTCTCTGTTGTCATCTCTTAAATTCCTTTTTTATCTTTCTTAAATGTTGGTTTTCCTTCCTTAAGAAAGACCTCAAGCCGTAGGTAGACTAGAGATAACTGTAATCCTTGGTTCACGATGCCAACTCTTCATTTCACGCACAATATGCTATTATTTTTTTCAATGAGTCAGTGAATCAGTTGCACTTAATAAGTGTCACAAGCTCTATGAACGGTCACCCCAAAACTAAAGCCATTAGACTTGATAGTAACCAGTAGCTGACCTATGTTGCCTCTCCTTCAGCCTTACTCCATCCTTCTCCCCTCCAAGATGGCGGCATGTTCTGCTCACTTTGGGGCTTCTTCCCTAACCAAGGATCGTGTCAGGGAAGGTTCCTTGGTGTGGGGTTTCTGTTCAGAAGTTCCTGTCTACCGTATCTGTGATCAATGACCTCCACTCACACGCGTGGTTTTGGAGTGACTACTTACCCCTCATCACACGTGTAAACTACCTTGGCCCCGTATTCGAATTTGTCTCCTTCTGCAAGTTCGAACGAACCGAAGGGCGTGTCACCTGGGTGCCCACAAGGCTTCTCTGAAATGGAGAAAGGCAGGCAGTAGTACCACCTCCCCCAGAAACACCTTCACCTGAGGCTTCAGGGACAAGGGGAGTTGACGCTGTCATAGAGGACAGGATGGAGGATATGGAAAAGCGAAGAATGGCAGAGTCATTGCTTTAGAATGGAACTCATCTGTACACGTGCTTTTTCAAATTTGTAAGATTACCTCCCCCTCCCCCCTTTCAAAAATTATAATGTTTTTATTGATTTTTAGAGAGGGATAGGTAGAAACATACATGAGAAAGGAACATCCTTGATTGGCTGCCTCCTGCACGCCCCCTACTGGGGATGGTGTACACAACACGGGATGGTGCCTGACTGAGAATCAAGCCCATGACCCCTCGCTTGGTTCATGGGTTGACACTCAACCACTGAGCACACCGTCTTTAAAGAATGAAGATGGTGTTGGGTTTCGTATTTAAGTGATAACACTGAGACAGTCCAGCCACAGAATTAAATTACAGTATTGCTGCTCCAGATTCAAACACTTGGTCTTTCCGCAATGAAATGTTTTTGTCGATGTCGCACACGTGTGGCTGACTTACTTTGACACGTCTTGTATGGGTTGAGGGCCACCCAGTTCCCTCCCTTGCATTCCATGGTGATCACGCCGTACATCCGGTACCCAGGGCGGCATTTGTAAGTGGCCTTTGTGCCTTGTGGGTAGGCCTGGTCAGACCAGGAGCCCGTCAGAATTTCGGTCTGTTTCCTCGGGGGAGGACCATTACAATCTACAATCAAGAAAAATATAGAACAAGGGCTCAAAGCAGCTATTTAACTAGACAGTATGTTTAGGTTAGTTTTACTTTAAAACCTACACACACACACACACACACATAAATATACTAGAGGCCCGGTGCATGAAAATCCCTGCACTTGGGAGGGGGGGTGTCCCTCACCCTGGCTTGCACCCTCTCCCAGTCTGGGACCCCTCAGGGGATGTCCACCAGCCAGCTTAGGCCTGCTCCCCTGTGGCTGCCTCTGCGGAGGTGTGGTGCCGGGATTGGGACCAGGCAGCCCTCTCTTCTGCCCCCTCTGCATGGCTGGCCTGGGAGTGCAGGCTCGCTGGCCCCGCCCTCTGCCCACTGGCCATTCTGCCAGGTCGCTCTGGTCTAATTAGCATGTTAGCTCTATTATATAGGATAGCCGGTTTATATATAAAACATACATTTTAGCTTACGGAAATGGAAGCTGCATACATTTGTAGGAATAACTTTGCAGAGAAATAGTCACACTTCACTATATTGTTTTAACTGCCGCTTTGCACTCATTAAGTTGGAAAATATATGATGTGAAGAAGAACACAATGAGTGAAGGATATGCCCTCATGGGGAAGCGAGTTGTTACATAAGTAATGAAAGATATAAACAGAAACATTTTTCTTTAGAAAAAGAAAGCATGGTAAGGTGATCCGAACACAAGAAATGAACAATGATGCTCACGCCTACTGTCATTATTGCTAATATTTTTGATACTGACTACTGCTTAATTTAGTTATAACTACTCCTGATGTTAGAATGATGACATTACTTTTCAAAATGGTACATTTAAAGATACACTAAGGACAGAGAGAGAGAGAGAGAGAGAGAGGGAGAATCATGGACATGGACAACAGTGTGGTGATTTTGGGGGTAGACGGGGGAGATGGGGATGGAAAAATAAAATAAAATAATATAAATAAAGTGCATAGTTAGCACATACATCATTACTGTTTATTTGTTTGCTTGTCTTTCATTGCTAACCTCCTTTCCTGAGTTGGTTTCATACTAACAGTTTAATGTACTATTCTAGAATTCCCTTTTTAAAGACAAGGTGAAAAAACAATCGGCTAGGACAGATCTCATCAGGGAACAGATTCGTTATTAAAACCTTTACAGCATCTCAGACAACAGAGACCTCCCTGCACTACTACGCACGCACCAATTTTCCTGGGAAGATTTCACAAGCTCTGAGCACCCTCATGTTCGGGAACTTGGCAATCAAGGATTCCAAGGTGCGGTCTGGATTTCCGGAAGTGAAGTGAATGTATTTTTTTTTTTGCCACTAGGTGGTGGTAATGCCTCGCCAGGAAACCACCCAACCAACCTCATCCAGCCTCCCAAGGGAGTTTTTGTTTTGAAGTTTTTGTGTGTGTTGTTTTTGTTTTGTTTGTTTTGTTTTGTTACATGCTAATGTTCATGGTTGTTTTTTTAGATGAAAATTTTCTGTTTAATTACAAGCTAACAGTGTCTTTTCCTTTTTTGATATTCAGACTTACTGCAAGGCATTCAGATTATTAGAAAAATACATGAGTTAAATCTCAAATGTAGATGACAATACAGTGCGTCGAGAACTATTTTCCGCTGATATAGCAGCCTGTTGATACACGTGCTTCCTGCTCTGTTGTTAAGCTAATGCAGGGGGAAAGGAATACAATTTTCTCAATTGATTTATTCGATTGAAATTATTTTTACTCATGCAGCCATCTATCAAAAGAGTAATCCAACCACACACACAGGAATGTAGCCTGTTTGCTGGCTGACGAGCTTTCTTCCTTTGGGTTATTGTTATATTTCCAGATGACACATTTACACCTCCAATTATTTTAAAAAAATACATCTTACTGATTTTTTACAGAAAGAAAGGGATAAAGGGATAGACAGTTAGAGAGAGAAACATTAATCAGCTCCTCCTGCACATCCCACACTGGGGATGTGCCCGCAACCAAGGTATATGCCCCTGATAGGAATCGAACCTGGGACCCTTCAGTCCGCAGGCCAACTCTCTATCCACTGAGCCAAACCGGTGAGAGCAGTGGTCAGCAAACTCATTAGTTGTCAGAGCCCAATATCAACAGTACAATGACTAAAATTTCTTTGGAGAGCCACATTTTTTAAACTTAAACTTCTTCTAACGCCACTTCTTCAACATAGACTCGCCCAGGCCGTGGTGTTTTGTGGAAGAGCCGCACTGCAGGGGCCAAAGAGCCGCGTGTGGCTCGAGAGCCGCAGTTTGCCGACCGCTGGGTTAGGGCTCCACCTCTAATTCTTGATTTTTCAAATTTAGTTCGTTGCTTTTAGCAGCCAGATGGAAAAGACAAAGGCAGACATCTCATAATCTTCCCACCAGCTTTTCACAATATTCACTGTGTGTTCGTTTATCAGGGGTTCCCAAGTGGATTGATTACCCTTTTTGATGTCGGATAATACTTAAAAGTGCTTCTTTCATGGACTTGAAATGCATATCTTGACTCTGTAAGAAAAAGATGTATCGCCCCGTCTCTGTTTTCCCATCTTTCCACGGCCATTGCCAGTTTCTTAGCTCTGATTACTCTCATCCATCACCTTGACTGAGAAACATTCTTAGCCGCAGAGTTTGGACAGTTGGCTTTGTCTCCTCCTGCACGCTCTATTTAAATATTATTTCCTTCCCAACACAGCTCAGGCTTCATCATTATGTTCGGTTTACTAAACTTTCTCTTTTTTATATATATAAATATTATGTTTATATAATATCCATATACATAGATAAGAAGGCGTTTTTATTGTATGTTAATATTGAACACATTGTAAGCTCAATAAAAGGAGGTGTTGTTTACTAAACTTTCATCAATCCTCCCATTCATGTCGGCTCCCTAAGGGAAGGATCATCTCTGTCCTCTTTTTTTTTTTTTTTAAATATTTTATTGATTTTTTTAGAGAGAGAGAGAAAGGGAGAGAGAGAGAAACATTGATGAGAGAGAAACATCATTGATCAGCTGCCTCATGCACATCTCACAGGGAATCTAGCTGCAAGTTGGGCATGTGCCCTGACTGGGAATTGAACCAGTTGCCTCTGGGTTCCTGACTGGACGTTCAACCACTGAACTACACTGGCTGGACTCTGTCCTCTTTTATATAGCGGAGGGACTTTGATGAATATGCAGATCTCCTCACTTTCAATGTACCTCCTATCTACCTGTGTTCTAATCTGGAATATACTGAGTATTTCCAGCTCTTGTCATTCCAAAATATTTTAAAGTGACGATTCACCGAATGGTGTCATATCAATAGGCAAGCCTATCTTATGACCTGGCTTTTACTTGCCTGGATTGACAAAGAGCTACCTGTTCCAAGCTCATTCTCAAAAATGTTCAATTAGACAAAGAGTTATTTTATCCCAAATAGTCAGAATGCTGGCTCAGATGTACACTGACCACATTCCCTTGTGTTAAATGGACAGTTCTTTCCCATCTTTAGATCTGGAAGTTTTTATTCTTATTTATTTATTTATTTATTTTTGAATAGCCATCATATGTCTCAAGTTCTAAGTTAATGAGTGTAATCCAAGCTTTTTCACATGTAGGTATTTACTTGGTTTAAACAATGAATACTTCATCTTATGTGTTTACAGAGTCCATTACATGCCTGTTAATTTTCTTCTTTGGCGAAACACTATCTGGATGAACTTTTTATTTGCTTGGTCTTGTTTTTCGAGTAAATAAGACAAAATTATTCGGTCTGTAAATATGTGGTATGAATGGATTTGGCTATTGAACTAGAATAGGATTCATTTTATGCTAATTTGAGGAACAAGATTATAAAATTTTAATCAAAGTTAAAAACAAATACACTTGATATTTTAAAAATCAACACTCACCTAACTTTACCACTTTCAGATTTTAAGGGGGTAGTATTAACATAGACACACAGAACTAATTGCTGGTTTTCAATGTCAGTGCATCTATAAACTTGTTTGAAAAGTATCCTTAATCCAAGACAACAAATTATAATAAAATTATACACTTGAGAAAACATGATCAAATCCAGAGGGCTTTGGTAGGCTGAAGTTGGGCGGGCTCTTTGTTCAACAAGTCTATTTTTCTAGAATTATTTAGAAAATAATTATCATGACAATCTTGGGGATACAAATGAAAAGCCAAAGGGAAGAAAAACATCATACATGCTACCCATTGTACCTGTGGCTCTTGGGGAAGTTCAATGATGGAAGAGTTAGAAAGATGGTACATCGCTTCAGCCCTCCAGTATTACAGAACTACGCCAGCCCTTTGTACAAACACGATGTTCCTTAATCTTGAATGCCCTCCTTGTCCTCATCTGGCCAACTCCTACTCAGCCTTCAAAACCCACCCAAGATGTCCTCACCACCCTGTCATACTTTTCTCTCCGCCCTACCCCACTCCATTCTCTCAGTCCAATTTGAGTCCTTGCCTTGTCTAAATGATCTTATAGACTCCTTTGTGTATCTCCGTCACATTATTTTCTATGATCAAATACCCTATGTTAGTAAAATGCAGTAACCATTCCTTTTGTTTCCCCACTAACTGGCCACCTTTTGGAAAATGGTAGAGTGTGTGGTGCATAGCTGCCAATCAATCAAGAACCGATGGTTGAATGAATGAATGAATGAGTTAACAAATGAATGAATGAATATGAAACTATCTTGGACCTTTCCCTTATATCTGTAGGTTATAGACAACTTGTGGAAGGGCATGGGAGACCATAGCAAATATAAAAGGTGAGTGAGGACCTGGGAACAGAAGTTTAGTTGCATGAAGCCAAGAAACTGTACCATCCTGTCCACGTGGCCTACGTTTGAACTTAGGCTATGCTTGCTGAGGCCAGGAATTATTTTAATTTAGCTCAAAAAAACTTTTGGGAGCCTTGTTGGGAACATTTTTATAGTCTCTCTTCTATCTATTACATTTCGAGTTAACAAGATTTATGAGAAACTTGGCTCTCTCTCCATTAAAGTGTCAAAACAAATAAAAGTGCGCTGTCAAATCCTTTATTCCCCTTCCCCTGTATTATTTTTGTGATCCCCCCCCCTGTTCCATTACTTCCCCTGAGACACATTTATAATATTTCCTTATCGTTTTAAGCTAAAATGTAATACTTTCCCAAGCAATTACATCATGTTCTTTTCAGGCATTATGTTCTGAAGAAATGGGCAAAGTGCAGCAGAGTGGGGAGAGAACACACAATGGATTGGTTGGCAGAGGGTCATGGCCAGGCAGGGCAGGGGGAGAGGGTACGTGGGGGGAAGAGAAGGAGGAGGAGGAGGAGGAGACAGAGCCCTAAAGAAGGGAAAGCAGTGAAAGCTGTAGAACAATCAGGGCTTGAGCAAATAAACGTGGGTCCACTTAGACTTTGGCTCCGGACCCGGCAATCAAAGGCCAATAAGGAATCGCTGCTAACCAGGGCTTCTAACTTCTAGCTAAGCAAAGTGTTAGTGATCCTTAAACAACCCCCTTCTCCTTTAACATTTTAGGCAAGAGGAAAAGGGGCATACGCATTTTTCCAGGACGTGCCTACGCTTAAAAATTACAACAACGTGGGTGGGCCTTGGAGACATGACCTAAGTGAAATAAGTCAGACAGAAAAAGCTAAGAACCATGGGATTTTGCCCCTGTGTGGGATAGGAAACTGCAACTGGTGAACACAAACAGCCCAGTGAAGTTGGGGCATTCCTGAGGTTAACCTGAGCTTCGCTTTCAACATTTCAACATTGCAGCTGTGCTTAAGTTAGGAAGTGGCGGACTGAGAGTCATTCTCATGATAACGCATCTGGTGCTCAGGTCCCCGGCAGAACTTGGTGTCACATGTAAACATTCGCAAGTGACACAAGGAATAGAAGCTAGAAATAAGTTGCCTGGTATCAATGGCCTCACTGAATAACATCAATGCCTTTTATCTAATTTTTACCACCAATACCTTGTAGCACCCAACTTTAATATTTCAAACTCCGCTCTGCAGTCGTTGAGAAAGTCTAATTGAATGTGGCATGATTCCTGAGTCGTAAACAGAAGCTAGACATAGACTGAGTGTCTACATGACAAATGAAGTCTGTATAAACCCCTCACAAACAACCTGTAAATACATGGCGGGACATTACACGCATTCCTATTAAAAAAAAAAAAATGACAATAACACACGTAAAGAAACAAGTTTTCTGTGGTTAGCCAGTATCATTGTTCTGGACTTTTTAATCAATAATGTTTTACTTTTAAATACTGGCTGTAACACTGAGGTGATTGTATACCTATTATACTTTGAAAAGTGGCTGGATGTATAGTTTACACGCTAAAAGTCACATCATAGTATTTTAGAACAAGGTAACTCAAAAGTCTCTATTTTTCAAAACGTAGGAAGCACATTGGAATAAACGTATGTAAGTTACTGAAGGACATAAGTTAAAAAAAAATCTGCCTTGATTTTCTAGGATGAGAGACCCTAGGGGACAGAGGGCCTGGTTGTGTGTGAAGATTCCTCAGTGCTCAGAGGCTAGTCTGAGGAAGCCTTACACTCAAACCATGTTGGCTTAACGGACAGTTCTGAGAATCTAGGGTCGCCATTGCAATGCATTTGGCTCACCGATGGCAATCATGAACCTATCACATCATCGCGTGTCGGGAACCAGGAGAGCAACTTTGTTCAGTCGGGTTTAAGAAACACATTCATCGATCAAGAATTAGAGACACTTGGCTCTCTCAGAATTACATTTAATGATGAATTCAGAAATTGTCCTCCTGATATCAGAAGAAAGTCATTCTAGCTAAAGACTGTTATTCTATTATAGAATCATCCTTATCTACCACCCCAGGGAAAATCTCTACTGAACAGAGTAGGTATCCCAGAGAAGGTGTGTTCTTCCCATCCACCCAAAAAATTTATATCACATTTTCATTTTAATGATACAAGTAATGGTCATCTATAAGACCATGGTAACACCAGTTCTAAATGACAGATGAATATGTCTTTAAGAAGAGTTAATACTACAGCTGAAATAAATCCAATCATTATATGATTTGAAAGCTTTTACTGCCTAATTTCTTTTTAAAAAAATATATTTTATTGATTTTTTACAGAGAGGAAAGAGAGAGGGATAGAGAGCTAGAAACACAGATGAGAGAGAAACACCCATCAGCTGCCTCCTGCACACCCCCCCCACTGGGGATGTACCCGCAATCAGAGTCCATGCCCTTGACTGGAATCGAACCCAGGACCCTTCAGTCCGCAGGCCGACGCTCTATCCACTGAGCCACACCGGTTTCGGCTACTGCCTAATTTCTATTCTGCTTCTGCATATATTCCCATGCTGCTTCATACTTAGACACGGAGCATTTTAGTGAAAACTGAGAGCAAAAAAAAAAAAAGAAAAAAGGAAATGATATCTTAGGAAAGTTGCAAATGGAAGTGACCGTAGGCACCACAATTGTCAAAGCCAGTTCGAAAAACACTCTCCGAAAACTTCCACGAAGCTCATTTAGGGTTAAAGGATCAGAATGCCTTGCCAGGGAGCCACGCAGAAGCTTTAAAGTTCGGTGTCAAAGCCACTCAAACACCAAGCCACGGGGCAGGAATGAAAGCGCGTTTTCTAGAGCACACTGTCACTGCCGCTGCCCGGAGCCTGTCAGCGAGTCCCTGGTAATAGAGCCGCACAAAAATCAAACAGGAAGTCTCTCGTTTGTACTCTTACCTTGGGCTACACAGACAGACCATAGCGTGAGCCACAGGATCTGTGCGGGGAGCCTCATTTTGGGGGGCCTGTCAGGGGTGCATGGAGCAGCTCACGATGCCCACTGTCCCTCTGGGTGTCCTCTGGGCAAGCTGTGGTCCGTGCAGGGACGTGCTGGCTGCAGGAGGAAGCTGGAGCTCAGCTCGGGAACTGGGAGCTGAGGGACGCCCCGCCCAGCAGGAGGGACTGGAGGGACTGTCCAGGGGGAGGGGAAGGAGCCCACTCCTGGCTCCCGCTGAATGGGGACGCGGTGACCTGGGCCGGCAGGGTTGTCATCCGCCAGGCCGCCTCCCTGCTGGACGCTCTGGGGTCCTGGGAATGGGCAGCGCTGGAGGGGTGGCCCCTGGATTCTGGAACCCTCCCCTGCCTCCCACCCCACGCGGGTCCACGGCGGGAAACCTGGGAGATGAACTAACAGGCGCTCTTTGAACATCCTCTGGTGGGACTGGAGGTGGGGCGAGGCTTGCACAATCCAGACCTGGACGGTGTGTGTGTGTGTGTGTGTGTGTGTGTGTGTGTGTGTGTGTGGTCAGCTTTGCCAAGAATGTGGGGCTGGTGGATTGGGAGGGGGGACCTGCTTTTCTGCAACTCGGGCCTCAGTCCTCTGAGGCTTGTTCAGAGGGTGTACAGGCAACAGGTCCACACCCTGGGGCACAAATGAGTTCAAAAAGCAAGAAGTGGGAATGCTGCTTTTACACTGTACTGGGACCATCTGCAGGAAGAGGATGCAGGCAAATGGTTTGCTATTGGGAAGGTGAAGACAGCCCGGGGCCAGCCACAGGGTCAAGACACCCAACAGCACTTTCTCCCAGGCCCCCCAGTCCTCCCTCCCCCCAAACCCTTGCCCCCTCCTGCCCCTCAGAGGGCGCCCTCTCCCTCTTCCCTAAGAACATGGACTCAATGGGCCATTTTGGTGCTTCCTATAAATCAAATAATGTTATTGATTCCTCTCTGTGTGTGTTTATTTATTTTTTAAGGACTTGTCATTTGAGTGACAGATACTTTCCTAAAACATATATTTTTTAAAGAATTTTTAAAAATATATTTTATTGATTTTACACAGAGAGGAATTGAGAGGGATAGAGAGTTAGAAACGTCGACGAGAGAGATACATCGACCAGCTGCCTCTTGCACACCTCCCACCAGGGATGTGCCTGCAACCAAGGTACATGCCCTTGACCGAAATCGAACCCGGGACCTTTCAGTCCGCAGGCTGACGCTCTATCCACTGAGCCAAACCGGTTTCAGCTAAAACATATTTTTATTGATTTCAGAGAGGAAGGGAGAGGGAGAGAGAGGGAGAGAAACATCCATGATGAGAAGGTATCATGGATCGGCTGCCTCCTGCAAGCCCCACACTGGGGATCCAGCCTGCAACCTGGGCCTGTGCCCTTGACCGGGAATCAAACCCTGACCACCTGGTTCATAGATTGATACTCAACCCCTAAGCCACACTGGCTGGCCCCTGGGTTCCATTTTGATTAGAACCTGGGCTCTATTCTCTCTCATCGTTGATGGTTCTCTCTCCACTCCCCTCAGAACCCAATAGAAAGAGGGCCTAGGGAATTGGTATCTTTCCTCCTGGCGCACACGAGACACGATGCACAAGTTGCCCTACATCCGGGTGGATGAAGGGAAAGGTCATTTTTCCAGGTTCATTTCCAGACACCCTCCCCCACACAAAGAAGCCTACACACCCCCAGCCCCCTGTGAGCGGACCCTGCGGCGTCCTCTCATTTAATAATGGGCCCAGAAGACGAGAACGCTGCCTCTGCATTTTCTTCCATCCTGTTTGGGGGGAAATGATACACACAGGGGCCTCCCATCTTATTCCTGGCCCTGGCTGTATCACGTGATGTTCTAACACCAGGCTGTAAGCTCTTCAAGTAACCCACCCGCCCCAGGGAGAAGAGAAGGACCACCCCCAGCCATCTCCTTGGCCCCTCCCTTGGCCAAATGGAGAACATCCGGGAAACACAGAAAGCTGGGGGAGATGGCGAGGGGTGGCCCCCTTTCCTGCACCCGCTGCCTCCTGAGTTCCTAGACATTTGCCCCCGGGCACCCTCTGGAGCCTGTTCAAGGCTGCGGATGAATCTATGAGCTCAGACTCCTGTTTGCTCTGCACGGAGATGGCCTCAATCTTTCCAGCTCCACGGCCTCGCAATCACTGCTGATTAATGATTAATGCTCCTGTGTCGGGGGAGGCATGAAGCTTCTCATCTGCTGATGGCCTCGCAGACCTCGTAGGCGAGTTCTGATTCCCTTTTCACATGAGCGGCAGGAGGTTAGGACCCAGACGGTCTGGCCTCACAGTTAGACGTGCAAGCACCAGCCTTACGGCCCTTCTGACTCAGTGTATGGCCGGACATCTCTGCTGCGAACAGAGGGAACTCTTAGCATGGGTCAATGCCGTGAGCAGGGGCCCCAGGCAGTCCCACCCCGAAAATAAAGGGAAATGTTAAGGAGTGATCGCCCTAGACTTCTGGTAATAAGAGACACGTGCCCCCAAACTCTGAGGAGAGAACACCCACCCTTTTGGGTCGGTCCCTTGAAGTGGCAAACCTTTTCATCGTTTTGATGTGGATAAAGACCGCCGGAGAGAATGAAGACTTTGCCTGCGGGGACTGAAGAAAAAATAAGGAGGGGAGGGAGTTAAAAGCTTTTATTTTTGCTTTTTTAAAAATTCTGTTTTCACAGACTGCGACAGAAGACACCGCGCCCTCAAATCTGTGTCAAGATCATGTGTCAAGGGCAAATATACACATGTGTCAAGATCTTAATCAAGGGCAAATATAACATCTGAGAAGTCTTCCCCACACACGTTAGCAAGAAGCTTTGGCCCTGTGAGTAGCTACCTGTTTCCTGGCGAAAGTTTGGAATAAAAGCCATGGGGTCTTCGTTGTGTCTACATGTTATGCGTGTCTCTGGCTATGCATGGCATATATGTGATGCTTTTCAACTTTGGAGGGACATTTCAAAATTATTTTGTAAAATTAAGTCCTCTTTGTGTTTAAAAATAAGCCTTAATATCAACAGCATATTTTTTAAAAATATATTTGATTGATTTTTTTTACAGAGAGGAAGGGAGAGGGATAGAGAATTAGAAACAGTAATCAGCTGCCTCCTGCACGCCCCCACTGGGGATGTGCCCACAATCAAGGTCCATGCCCTTGACTAGAATCAAACCTGGGACCCTTCGGTCAGCGGACCGACGCTCTACCCACTGAGCCAAACTTGTTTCGGCTCAACAGCATATTTATGGAAAACTGAAACTTGACTCCCCCTCATGTGCTGATAAAATAGAGTTTTTTCGGGCTGCTGGGCTGTTCTTGGTAAGATTGTGAAAGGGTTATGTTTACCTTTTGCGTAATCTGGCTGGAAAACAAGGATTCTGTATTTAACGAAAATGGTTTCCTGTATTTCTTATCGTCCTTACTGGATCTCTGATTGTTTGAGAAAATGGATCCTTCGTCGTTAAAGGGGCCACGTTGTGTGTGTGGGTGTGTTTTTTTTAACAACTATACAGTTCCCCGGTATTTGCCTTTGATTTCTTTAGTCGTGACTTTGGTTCAATGAATAACTAAGGATTGTCTCACAATGACCTATGATCTCATTTAATCAAGTGCTTGAAACCTTTTAAACCTTTTGATAAGTTTTTACAAACTTCCCCCAAAATCAAAATCGAAATGAAGCCTCATTGACCTTGAACTAATTTTGGGATTTTCACCAGGGTCCCTGGCACATCTCGAAAGATGTGTCCTGTCTTCCTGTTGGAGATATGAAACGTATAGGCTTGCTTGATGTGTTAAATTAAACGGGAAGCAAATATATTCATAAAAATAATATATTTATTGCAAAACAACCTAAAGAAAGTTCTAGCACCAGAGACGTGATGCTAGAACTTTCTTTAGGTTGTTTTGCAATAAATATATTATTTTTTATGAATCACATATAGATTATTACACTAGGTAATTGATACATTATTAATATAGTAATTAATACAAGTGTTCCTGTATTAAGTACTTCCTCTTCAAGGACATTCATGGAGAATTCTCCAGCAGACAGGTATCTGATAACTACTATCAGCCTGCGTTCACTTGGGAGGGACAGTAATGGACCTTCCAGAGCCCCCCAAGGCCACGGGCACAGCCCACAACACGTCATGGGTGGGAGCCCGAGACCTGTCCTAGCTCCCCCACATCAATAACAGGAGGCCATTACATGGATGACATCACGTGAATGTGTGAAGACCACCCTCTGAAGGTCAGGGGGCCTTTGCTGGAACATCCGAGAGGGAGACGGTGGGTGTTGAACCCACAGAACACGCAAGGCCCATGCCCTGCAGCGAGGAGTCCATTGGTGGGGTGAGATGCGTGTTTCCCCAGAAGCTGTGGTTGAGAAGGTGCGAGCTTGGGTGACCCCTGAGAACATGGAAGAAGTGCAGGGCTTGGTGGGGATTTGGAAGTTTCGGGGGGACTTTGATGGAGTTCGGTCCCAGAAAGCACCCTTAGGATTCTGGGAGGGGGCAGACATCTGATATACCCGCTTAGAGCAACAGCTCCCAGCAGAGGAAGAGATCTGGCCAGTTGGAGCCAGTTCCTTACAGCTTCTGCCTGGAGATCACGTGAGTCACTTCAACTCTCATTTCATTGTCCAAAGCGTGCTCCGTCCATGCACACACTCAACATAAAAGCTATGAAGTGTGGCCCTACTGTGCGCCTCCGACTCCCTCCTCTCATTACTTCCTAATTTTTTTGGGCTTAACCTTTATTCTCTGGTTCTCCCACTTACATTAGTTTTCATAACTAGGTTTGCCATTTCCTTCAAATCTTAATATTATATCTGAGTGGACTTATTCTTTCTTTTCTTTTCTTCTTTTTTTACTCTCCTAGTGCTTTCCAACGATGGCTTCTCCACAGTTACCGAGGTCCTAATTTTGATGCATCTTTTTTCTCCCCTCTCTTAGCATTTCATAATCACATTTTTTAAGACAGGCTCTTGGACTCTTTCTTGATTTATTGCATATTCATGAGTTTATTTCTCTTATACTAAAATGTCAACTTGACTGAAATTCCCAGTTATCCAAATGGCGCCTTACACACTTAGCACAATAGTATTGACTCTATTCCTTATGCTGTCCTTTCC